AATGCTCCTCCTTGACTGACTGTCCCTCCTTATTTTTGGCCCCAAACAAGCTCTAACCTTTTATCTCCGCTTTCTTATTCTGCATCTCAGATGTAGCTCCTGAAACCAGAAGGGCTCAATCACTCCCTTGAGGGCAAAACTTCTGTCCTGTATTCTACTTCTGCCCTAAGCTTGTTGCATATTGTGTTAATCCAAAATAGAGGCATGTGAGACGAGATGGAGTAGAATAGTCTCACCTGTACTAATGTATGTATTCCTAAAATTAAAATTTTTTTAATCATTTATGCAGACCAGAGGTTCAAGGGAGACAGTGTTTGTGTGAGGTTTCTTGAGTGGAGTGGGTAATACCTCAGTTCTTGGCTTTGCACAAGAAAGAATTCACACCGAAGCCCATTTGTAATGCGAGTAAGTTTTATCAAGGAAGGGAGAAGTTCCAGGTCTTACAGTCTCAAATAGGGTACAGGCTATGTCAGGGAAGCGTGCCACTCACAACTGGACACGAGCAACCTCACGGAACAGTGCACCCACACCTGTGGAGCTGAGGCCAGGAGCGGGCGTTGACAGGGAGCGTGAGCGGCGTCCCAGTGAGTGAGTGCTTCCTGCCTTTCTTCTAGCCCACCCTCTGGCTGGGGAAGGGGTGCTTGACGGTATCTGTTGACCCTGTTAGCTGTGTTAAGCCTACAGGGTTATGTGCTGGGCCAGGCCTAGTTTGGACACCCAGGTGGACCTCCCACCTGACTTGGGGCCTGAATTTGAGTATGCCCAGTTAAGGGGTTCCCATAGGTGTATAATGCTCCCCTGATTTTCTAGGGAGCCTTCGCGGGCATGGGAGGGACAACCCCCTTCCCCTATTCTGGCTACCTCGCCTCTGTGTGGTACTTTGGTGGTACTGTGGTTGCATACTTAGCTGCTAATCAGAAGATTGGAGGGTCAAACCCACCAGCCAGCACACTTACCAGCCACTCCTTAGGAGTCAGATGCGGGTCTGCTTCTGTAAAGGTGCTGTGAAGTGGTGCTGTTGTACTCCATTTCCTTATGGTAACTATGAGTTGAAATCAGTTTGAGAGCAATGAGGTGACTTATATATATATATTTATAGTTTATAAATATGTGTCGATTAATGCCCACTGGGCATTATGTAATCGGGCTGCTAACTGCAAGGTAGGCAGTTGGAAACCACCAGCCGCTCCAGGAGAGCAAGAGGAGGCTTTCCACTTCAGTCCAGAGTTGCAGTCTTGGAAACCCACACGGGCGGTTCCACCCTGTCCTGGATGGTTGCTAGGAGTCGACATCGACTCAGTGGCTGTGAGCACCTGCTGTGAGATGGCGCATTTTGTGATTGAGACTTCAGGAGAATACCATATCATACTCCGGTCCTGTTTTCTCTTGTATCTTGAGCAGGCTTCCTCGATTACCAGGGAATGGCAACAAGCTGAGAGCGATTTGCTTTTCTGTTTAGTTTGCAATTCATGTCACCAGCAATTTTGTCCACATCTGATAATAGGTCCCTCATATGTTTCCTAATCTTGTCGTTTTCAAGGAAGATTTTGGTATCTTATAAGCGCTTGTAGGATTTCTTCTTTTTGTCCTCGAGGATTGCCATGATTGTCGAGTGGGACAGGCTTATATCATGAGCCAGTAGCATTCACTGGGTTTCACCTTCATGTTGTTTAATAACTTTGTGTTTCACTTCCCCACTGCTACTTACCCCCCTCCTCCCCTCCTGTTGCTGCCACCGTCCTGGTTTGGCTGTGTCTGGATGCCATGATAGTACTCCATGCAATGTTTTTTAAAGAGCCAAAGACATGTGACACGAGAGTTTGGGTGTTGTTGCCTATAAGTCTAAATACACACTACTAGAGGGTAAACATTTTAGATAGAACGTATAATATAATACATAAGTCAGTGGCATAGTGCAATAAAGGACAATGGCGGGCCATATCTGACCTCCTCTGGCTTCCCAATTGCCTTAAGGCAGGGGCCAGGCAAGCCTTCATGGTCATTCTGACACCAACTGTTCTTCCCCTATCGCTGTTCGTCAGTGCTGGGTTCAATAATTGTTTGCAATGGCCACAGAAATCACAGACAATATTCACATGTAAAGGGGTTATTAGGGAAGTTAGTAGGCTACCCCAAGTCAGGATCAGCAAATAATAAGGTATTAGTCTCCTCAGCCAGCACCCATGTCTATCTCGAGTTCTCAGCTTCTCAGCCACGTGAAAGCCACATTTCTCTCCCGTTTGTCAGTGACATGGTTTCTTGACCTTCGTCTCCCTTGGCCAGGAAGCCAGCCAGGTTGTCACTGTGTTGCACCGTTCCATCGCCTCAGGCCAGACAAAAAGAAGGTGCCACATAGTCTCAGTGCTGCTCCTTTGAGTCTCTTTGCCGCCATTTGTGATACATCTGGTCTTGGTGCTCTCTGCCACTTCAGACCAAGGTCTTGAACGTGCTCTTCCCATATCTTCAGGGCTTCTCTGTTGTCTAGTTCTGCTTCAAAGACTGCTCATCAAAGAGGGATCATCCCCCTCCACCCCGCCCTTTTATAGCCATGGGGGTTATAACAAAAACTGACCAACCCCTGGACTCTTAGTGTATACTTGCAATATTTACTTAGTCCCATCCAAGCATTTATTGGGAGTTATAGAGACTTGGGTATGAAAGCCATATTAAGAAATTTCACTCCAGCACACATAGACATTTATACCATAGGTTCTATATATAGCATATCATATACCTGGCAGCACAATTGCTCTATATATGAGATATAGGTGTTTTGTGCAGGAAGCTATTGTGTTTGATACAACACACTCTCCAACCAGGATTTCTGAACGCTATTATAACTTCATGAGAATATCCCTGGTGGTGTAGTGGTTCTGAGTTGATTTTGGATCCTCAAGGTTAGCAGTTTGAAACTAGAAGCCACTCCACTAGAGAAAGATAAGGCTTTCTACTCCCATAAAGTGTTACAGTCTTGGAAACTGGGACAGTTCCACTCTGCCCTACAGCGTTGCTGTGAGTTGGCATTAACTCCATGACAATGAGTTAGGTTTTTTAAATGATAACTTTAAAGGACCACGGATGTATAGGCGATAGACTGTTGCTTGAGTAGATGTTATACAGCATATAACTAGTTACATATTTGGAGTTCCTGGCAGGAAAGGTTAAGTGCTCAGGAAGAAAGGCCTGGTGACCTTGCAATAAGTCACAGCCTTGAATACCCTGAGACGCTGTGAAAACTGCACGTCAGGGGTGGCTTCTGGTTGCCTTGAACTTCACGAGGAGAACAGAGAATCAGCATAAACCCGGTGCTGATTCCTAGGAGGTGGATGGCTGACCTAGCTCCTTTCTCCAACATTTGTACCAATTTGACACCAGCCCTCATTCGCAAGCCTCTCTTCATTCCTCTGCTGGGTTTAATAACTGATTTTGATGGCCACACAGAACTCATAAACCATTTTCTTGATGGTGAGGTTTATTAGAGAGGTAGCGGTTTGGGTGCTGTGTACTACAGAGAACCTATAGGCTGTATTGGCAAAAGTAGCAAATAACGAGGCCTGAGTCTTTGGGTCCTGGTGTCTTATTTAAGGGCAGCAATCGGTCACATTGTTCTTGCAAACTGCCTAGGAGATGGTTCTGAGATGTATTTAGGACAGGCAGCTGGGAACACAGAAAAAGTGCCTGATAAGTTAGTACTGTCTTTTAGGGTCATAAACCACTGCCATTGAGCCCAGTCCTGCTCATCGCAACCTACAGTACCGAGTAGAACTGTTCCTCGGGATTTCAAAGACTGCAAATGTCTACAGGAGCAGACAGCCTCATCTTTCCCCCACTGAGTGTTTGGGGGTGTAAACCTTTTCATTAGCAGCCTAACACCTGTCCCAGAGGGCACCATTTATGGTCACGAATTTAGAAAGCAGTGAAAGGTTTTTGTTTTGTTTCATTCTACCTTATTCATTGTCATAAGTCCCCAAGGAATATTCCCTATGTGGGAAGTGCGATGGCACCTATGACCACTTTCCTACATGTTACCACTGTATTACTTATTGTTCAGTGAAGACTGAGCTTCTTGACTTGTAATGGGATCCTCCCAGGAATACTGGCAAAGGGGACAGCGGCCTCTATCTTCACTCCTTTAGAAACTTTCAGTGTTCAGGAAACCCCTAATGGTCACATACCCCTTGTTCTCTTTTGTGCCAGCCCAAGTGTGACTCATGTTTACTGATGCTCATCAGTACACCGAAGGACAGGTAGCAGGCTTCTTTCTCTCGGGGACAGAGACACAGTAATGGATCTAATAATTACCTATACTCATTTTTTATCAGTGATTCCACCGAAACATACGTATAAGTCTGCAGAAAATTCCACAGGTTTTTTTTCTTATGTACTGCTGCCATACAGACACATACCATTTTTAAACAAAATCATTTATATCACAAAGCATGTTCATTTATGCACGACTGGAAAATCATAGTGTTTTTCAGTTAGTGATCCTAATTAATGAACTATAGGTACATGCTTATCATACTCCAAAATTGAATTGTTTCCTTCAAATAACTTTTATCCAAGTTAATTACATACAAATAGCTTTGGAAAGTTAATATATTATCCATCAATGAGCTTTTTTCTTTTCCTTTCCTTTTCTTTTCCTAGGAAAGTTTCATTAGACATCGATGTTTGAATTCTGGATTTTCTAATGAAAGTTCTACTGCCTTCTATGGAATAAATCAATTTTCTTATTTGTTTCCTGAAGAGTTTAAAGGTATGGGATATTTGTACGAATTGATGAGTTTCCTGATTTTAGCCAGTTCATTTAACTTATATATATAATTGCTTTCATTGTAAATCTAATAAATTGAGTAAGAGGTAGCCATTATTAAATATTAATGAACTAAAAGTCAGGCACATGCCAAGTGCTGAGAGTTAAAACAATAGATTTATGATTAAATCAAAATAATAATGATGCGGTTGCCATTGGGAAGATTCTGGCTCAGGTCAGACATGAGCCACGTTTCAGGCTATAACTGTATTCCATAGTTTGTTTGTTTTTAATAGCTGAGATTTCCAGGCATTTTTCCTAGGAACCTTTGGACAGATTCCAGCTACCAATCTTTTGGTTTATAGCTAAGTGCTTAACTATTTTCACAACGTTAAAAAATGTAATTGTACCTATTTCATTTGACTATAAGGCACATTGTCTTTAATTTGTTGTCAGTTTTTGCTGCTCTCTCTGTTCAGGACACCCATGATTCCTTAGTTAATGATAAAATGGATGATGCTAGCTATATTCATTTTTATGATTGGTCTGGTTCTACCACACACATCATTTAATATGCCAACTCCAGCCCTGCGCTAGGAGTTTTTATCTTTTCTAGCTCTCAGCTGGATGGAGTTTCTAAAATGGAAAAAAACAAAACAAACCTAGACTGGCATATTTCTTCTTGAAAAGTTTATACAAAACGTTTCTTTGAAAATACCAAACCGCGTCTATGGCCATCAAGTTGATTCCAACTCATAGCATCCCAATAGGACAGAGTAGAACTGTTCCTCAGGGTTCCCGAGACTGTAAATCTTTATGGGGGGAGGCAGCCGGGTCTTTTTCCTGTAGAGCAGCGGATGGGGTTCAGTCCCTAAATTTGTAGTTAGCAGTTGCACAACTAACTCAGTGCAACCAGAGCTTCTGACCCCTTGAAGAGGTCCAACAAAAAGAATCCGGAGGATTTGACCCTACAATATAGGACTAGTTACTTTTTCATGTCATGTTTCTTTTATTCAGCCATTTATTTGAGAAGCCAATCTTCCAAGTATCCCCGATACTCAGCAGATGGACGAATTTCAATCCCCAACATATCCTTACCAGTAAGATTTGACTGGAGAGACAAGCATGTTGTAACACAAGTGAGGAACCAGCAGATGGTAAGTTTCAGATTCTCCTAAATACAAATCTTAGCATGGAAAGGTGTTGAGATCAAATTCATTCAAACGTATCATTGTGCCCCTCATTTCTCTAGATAAAATCAAGCCTTAGTCATTCAAAAAATCAGTGAAAGGAGAATCTCTATTGGCAGAAGGGCTGGATGTCAGAGCCCTGCCTCTTCTCCCTGAAGATCAGCCTTCATTGGTGTGTTCTCACACTAATACCATTGCCAAAAGCATGCTCACTCAAGGATGCTTCACTATAGCAGAATCCAGATTCCATGCCTTCTGTACATAGCAGATGGATGGCTAGACCAGGTAAACATGCCTACTACATGCCAAGTTGTTCAAAATGGAAACGGTCTTGGAATAGTAACATACAACTGGAAATGTGGCCCGATTTCTTGAGTTCTCATGCCTTACACATTATCTCCATCAGAACACCCTATCCCCAACCCAGCCTCCCATGAGAGCACACCTTTTTTTCTCCGATCTTAAAGGTGTGGTCAGTTTTGCTACATGGTGACGTGAGAGTATAACCCCAACTTACTGCCATCCAGTCGATTTTGATTCATGGTGACCCTGGAGGGCAGGTGAGAACACTCCCGTCTGAGTGCTTAAGACTTTAAATCGGTACAGGAATTGAAAGCCCCATCTTTCTCCTGTTAGTGACTAGTGGGGTCCAGCGGTAGCCTTGTGGCTAGCAGCTGAGGGGTGGCTCGCTGCACCACCACTGCCACCATCTGTACAGAACGGCCCAGTCAAGGGGTATGCAGCAAATGCAAGGAAGAGCAGCACTCAGAAACTTCATCACAGGGGAATTTAAAAATAGGGAATTAATTTGTAAAAACTATAGCACCGTTTCACAGCTATAACTGATTTTTAAATAGAGGAGCATCAACATTTTTATCAGAATTAAGTTCTGGTCTTAACCAAAGAAAGATTTTTTTTTTTTCTGGTTAAATAGAAGCAATGCTGGAAAATGTTACTAGAGTCTGTTAGGAGGAAGGCAGCCACATCCCGTACCACAGACATAGGATCACATTAGCTTCCTTGCCCTGTGCATGCATTCCTTGGCTTTTTAAGGTTTCATCACATGGGTGATGTTCTCAGAACTGCAGTCCAGCTATGCTCTGTGCCTAGTAGATGAGACTGGGCTCAAGAGGTTCTGGGGAATTTCGTCCCTCCTTGGAACTTTAGGTACCACATGCTCTGTTCTCACTAGGTGATGATGTCAAGTAGCAATGGGTTCTGGAGAAGGTAGTCCCTTTTGGGAACTTCAGTCCAAACAATAATGCTAGTTCTATTTAAAATAGATTAAAGGGTTCCTTAAGAGAGAATGTCTGACTAACACAACTTCTGTTCCATTCAGTTATACAAGGGAACCATTCTTGCTTCCGTCTCTGGTCCAGATCTCCACTCCTGCTCCTCTGCTTGGTCTCAGGGGAAGGAGAGTCAGGGATAGGAGGAGGGATTGAAATGTGCTGCTGCTGTAAAACTAAACCGCACAGCCCCCAGATCCACTCCTAGTGACCTCAGAGACAGAGTAGAACTGCTCCTTGGGGCTCACAGGCTGTGGGGGCAGAATTGACAGCAATGGGGTTTTACTAACCTGAATGTTGACATTGACTAATCTGAATGTTGACGTTGACTAACCTGAATGCCGAACCCACACAGCGGCGCCTGGGGTGGGGGGTGGGGGCTATGAATCTGCTTCCATAAAAATTACAGCCAATTTTTGAATGTTGATGGGGGTCTTTTTCTTTTTACGCATTATTTGTATTCTTGTCTTTATACTATTATTCTTTTATCCTTACCTCCTTAGTGTGATTGTGTTTTTCATTGTCTTCTGTTGGGTCTCCCAGCTGTGAAGAACAGGAGTGGATACATAATGATGACAACTGATACAAGGGGACAAGGGTGCAGGGAAATGGAAGGAGAGGGTATTTCTTGTGTAAATAATGAAGGTGGGAGGGGGAGGGTTCACTAGAACAGATTGTGATTGCGCAATTCATTTTAAAGGGGCTTTAACCATTTGGGAGTTGGGGGAGGATGCTCTAAAATTCATGTGGTAATGATTGTACAATTATCCTTGATATGATTGAAATATTGAACTATTGGATTGTATGCTATGTAAATCAGGTGCCAATAAGCCTGTGTGTAAGCTGCATCTGACATTCTCTGGCTACACAAGGGAGCTGGAAAATCCAACTACACCCTAGCACAAGGTAAATTCAGACGAGACAGAAGTCAGACAGGCCTCCACTTTTCAACCTTCTTTACCCTGTTTGGTCTCCAAGTGTCCCTCCGACAGCAATCAACTTCTCTGATGCATTTGATAAGTAATCCATTGCAATGCCACACTGAATCCAAAGTAATCAAAACTGTGGGGGTCTGTTCGGTTAGTTGCAAGAACGATGAGGCTTTCCAGTCCCATAAAGCACATAAGGGCAGTTCAATCCTGTGCTATATGGTTGCTATGAGTTGAATCGATTGGATGGCATTGAATTTGGTTTTCATTTGATTAGAGAGTTAAAGGTTACAAGTTACAGGTTACAAGTCAGGCTCCGAAACATTAAGGTTACAATTCTTATCTCCACAGTGCTTCTTCTTGGCCATGCCTTAGAAGGCATCCCTTTTTAGGGTCTTTTGCCTCTCAGCCATGTGTACGCTCAGCCTCTTCCCCTCTCAGACAAGTGTTACAAAACTCCTTCAGCACTGATAGCTGCCCAGTGGGTCTCCATTCTGAAGGCCGGCCTTCTGCCCAAAGAAACTTTACTCCTTCCTTGGGCCAGAAACCTATCATTCTGTTTCACCATCCACCCCTGTGCCTTTGCACTGTCCTTTGTCTCAGTGTTCCTCCTCTGCCACTTCCCAATGTGGGGATCTTAGATTCACTTCTCCTGGCTCCTCTTCCAGGGTGGTCATGAGCTACCCATTCCTGCTTCTGAAAAGCCTCACATATATCCAGTAGAATGAGAATACTGACCAATCCCTTTCTTAGAATTTTATACACCCAACCATTGGTGAGAGTTCAAACGAGTAGATAGAAGAGGCATATTAAGTAATTTTCACTTTACTGCACATGTTTTAAAAGGTTGTATTTGACATAAACCAGTGCAAGTATGAGCTATGAGGAGGTACACACCCCCAATCCCCCCCCCTCCCAAAAAAAACCCCAACCGAATTGTGCTGGGCAGAGCGGAGCTTTCATAGTAAGCATTTTTCTTGTTTGGCGAGCATTAAGCAACTCGCTCTGAGTTAGTGCATCCAGTGGTGTCGCCTGAGAAGGTTCTCTCTAGTCACCGTGAATTTTTTCATGACCGTAGTTGCTTTCAAACTTTGGTTTTGGTGATGGCCCATTTAAAAGAACAGCATGTGACTCTGAAATTCTGTTTCCTGCTTGGGGAAAATGCCACGGAAACTGTTGTGATGTTGAATACAGCTTCCAAGGACAGCACTATGGGAAAAAAGTCAAGTATACGAGTGGTTTTCTCATTTCAAAAAAGGTGAAATGTCGATTGATGGCAAACCTCATTCTGGATGTCCCTCATCTCCCAAAATGAGGAAAATGTTGACTTGCAGTGCATTTGAAGTTCATTCCACCAGGTCAGAAATCAAGATGTCTATTTAGAGTTTTTGAGAAGATAGCCCAACTCTGTGTGACCAAAAAAAGGCCTGATCTGTGGCATGAGGGGGAGTGGTTTTGCCACCATGCCAGTGCACCTGCTCACACACGCAGCCATCTCAGTGCCAGGTTTTGGCAAAAGACAGCATGCCTCTCTGGCCGGATGCCCCTTACTCACCTGACCTCGCTCTGTGTGACTTTCTTTGCTTCTGTAAATTAAGAGGGACATGAAAGGGCAGCGATTTGATGACACAGAAGAGGAAAAGGAAAATAACAAGGAGGTGCTGTCAGCCATCCAAACAGATGAATTTGAAAAATGTTTCTAAGAATGGAATCACAGATTTGACAAATGTATTACATATAATGGAGACTACTTTCAAGGTGATAAGGTTTTTTATAAAATATTTAAATACATAGCTTTGAAAAAAAAGTTGTTTCTTTTATACCCCCCTGGAGATCCATGATAACAATATTTTTAAATTACCCGAATATTTTAACAATTAAAAGAAACTTGGGTTTTCATTTATTTTGTTTTCAGTTTAAAAATCTAGATGGACATGTATGTTTTGTAAGCTTTCCGATTCTCTGAACTTTACTTGCTTTGATATACTTTCTGTATTAGACTGGGTTGTCTAGAGAAGCAAAACTAGTGACTCCTATGTGTGTGTATATCGAAAGAGATCTATCAAGAAAGGACTCACACAGTTGTAGAAGCGGGTAAGTGCAGGCCCATTCAAGTTCATGGATGTCAAATGCAAACTGAAGGCTTTGCCTGACTCCTGCAGCTGCAGGGACTGATGAACAGGAAGAAGGAATATGCAGCAGGAAGGAGCGCGGGCTGGTGGATACTGAGCTGAATGAATCTGAGCTTGCCAGGCTGCTGATAGCTCCTGGGAGTGGCAGGCAACATAGCAGGAGATCGGCAAAACAGATACAGGATCCACATCCAGTAGGAGAAGTGTTCTACCTTCCACACGCTGTCGATGTATACTGAGAGAAACCTCCTTCAATCGTATCAAGGCTGCGACCACATTAAAGAGGTTTCTTCTCCCTGTAACTGTTTGGCTGCTTCACAGAAGAGCCATCCCTGTGTTAGGTCCTATTATGGAAGAATCCTGATTCACATAGGTTGACATAACACCTAGTTATCACACTTTCTATTTCGCGATGTGGGTAGCTTTGATTTAAAAACTATAAATATAATACATATCACCTTCCTCTTATATTTTTAAACAGTGTGGGGGATGCTGGGCCTTCAGCGTAGTAGGTGCAGTGGAATCTGCATGTGCAATCAAAGGCGAGTCTTTGGAAACCCTGAGTGTACAGGAGGTCATTGACTGTTCCTATAATAATTATGGCTGCAGCGGAGGGTCCACACTCAATGCTCTGAACTGGTTAAAGAAGGTGAGTGATTTTTAACTGGAGTTGTTTTTTTTTTTGGAACTTGCTTAATTTAAACAACTTAGAAATTTAAATAAGCAAAGATCACATGAACTAATCAGACAACTTAAAAATGAATTTTTCCTAGATTGGTACGTCATCAAAAACTCTTAGGGTAAAAAAATCATAACTGAAATCCACTACAGTCTATGTTTATGGTTATTGCTTATCTTAGAAAAAAATACTTGCTGCAAGTAAGTGCCACCATGAGAACAAAGAAAAGTGAGA